GGAGGAGAGGAGAGGGAGGAGAGGGCGGGGGGGGGGCGAGAGAAATCGCAGGGAGGGCGAAACAACGCGCTGGAGCAAGTGTTTGCAGGAGGCAGCAAATCGGCCGAGAAGAGGGCGAGGAAGGGCGCGAGGAAAAGACTCTTGGCTGCTCCAAAAAGACTGAAATATGAGATACTTCGCCGAAGTGCAAGAGGATGAGGATGATTAATATTAGCCTCAGGAGGTGTTTACTACAGGTAAACAATGCCTCCATCGCGCCTCAGGAAGGCACTCTGAAAGGCCCGAGTGAAAGAGCAATATAGTGAATCTTAGATTTCTTTCAAGCCCAGACCTTCACAGTCTGCATTCATTCAGCCTCTGCTCTGAAGAATCGCTCCATCGTCCATTGTGCCGCCCTCGCCGCTGGGAGCATTGTAGGACGATATTTGTGCGCTGAGCTCAGCCCGAAATGGAAATCTCGGCCGGTAAAGTTACCTTTTTATTTTCTGCTCAGAAGCTGCGTCGTCCCGTTAGAATTCGGAAGCAGTTAACAGATTTCTTCACTATTTGTACTTTCTCTTACCGTTTATAGTCTAGCACTTTGCGTAAACTGTAAGGCAATCGCAGCTTTTGTACTTTAAGACGAGTGGCCCCCTCGCTTCTTTCCAGCTGTCCGTTCGACCAGATAAAGATGTTTGACGGACCCGATCACATATCCCCTCTCATCGGAACCTACTGCGGGCAGCAGAGGAACCTGGTGATATTCAGCAGCGGCAGCACTCTGCTCCTCACCTTCAGTACCCTGCAGCGAATTGCGGACACCCAGAACCGAGGCTTTATGGGCATTTTTAATTTCTCGGAAAGCTACGTTAAACTAGGTGAGCTCATATTGCTTCCATTCTGTGAATTGTATAGCTTGCTTTATTATTCTTATGTGTTGTATTTTTTGTTAAGAGAAATATATGCTCGTACATGATATAGTTGATCATTTTTCAATTATGTCAGTGATATTTTTTATTTGTAAAAATACATTTGGTGGAAAAGTGAGAAAGGTGATCAGTCGCGAAAAGTCATGCCTCCAGCGCTTGCATTTCCTCGCGTCTCGCTTCAGATTTCATCAAGACCATAGAGGCCGAGCACATCCGGGGGACGGAGTGCGACCAGCGGATCCTCAGCAAGAAGGAATCCAACGGCACCGTGTACAGCCCCAATTACCCGTTCCCGTACCACCCGAACATCGTCTGCCGCTACTTCATCTACGGGCTGCAGGACGCTCAGAATTTGGAGAGAGTTCGGCTGCAATTCTACGACGTTTTTGAAATACCTGCGAAACCCAAAATAGATAAAAAGTGAGTATGTGGTTAAGGGTAATTCCATCTGTGTGTGTGCGTGTGTGTATTTTGTATTTTGTATTTTGCCACCATTATGATTACTGTTCATGAATATGGACATTCTAAATTGTATGTATATATTCGTTTTATCTTGAAATGATTGGGTCAAAAGCATTAAATAGATTACAGGGGAACACCTTTCAAAATCAAATGAATTGACATGAATCAAATTTAATGCGTGCGTCATCATCATTATCACCATCACACATTTCGGCGCCTTGTTTTGTTTCTTGTTTCTTCTCGCGCCCTAGTGACGCTCTTTCTCTTCCGTTCCTCACCCGCAGCTGTTCAGACGGATACTTACGGATCTACCTGAAGGGGCAGGAGCAGGAGAATGCGTACGACAAGCCAGACTACGAGCTGTGCGGGAAGACGCTGCCCCAGACCATAGTCTCGTACGGCCCTCGCCTCGTCATGGTCTTCAGCTCCGGCAACATGCACGGCGGGAGGTTCAAGGCCAGCTACAAGTTTGAGACAGGTAGGTCTGGGACCGCTTTCTGGTTTTAGTATTTAGGCTCAACAATTTATATATTTCTTTGTCTGTGTAATTATTTATTCATGTGTTTATGCATTTGATTTCATATTTGTTTATCTATTTGTTTATTCATGTGTTTATTTATTTATTTCCTCATTTATCTGTTTATTTATTTTTGTGGGGGTCTATTTTATGATTTTAAACTATTCACTTTGAAATATTGCGCCTGTGCTTTGTTGCTTTCCCACACCATATACTGTGTTACTGGTTTCGGTTCGATGCCCCTCCCTTGTCGTGTCACGGGATTATGACGACAGTGTCAGCATTCATAAGTGATTACTTGATGACACTGCAACTAGATATACTTCCAACTACAGGTGAAATGTAGTGTACTGTGATATTGGGGGAAGCTTTCACCACAAAGGTGGTTCCCTTTCCTCGTCTGCCAACGCAGCTGCCTCCGCCTTCTATTCGTGGTGGCTGACTTTCCCCTCCTGTGCCTCGGGCGGCGGCTGTTGACACGTTTCTGCCTCGCATTTGCTTGCTTCGTGGCCCTGGGCACTTCCGATTCGCATTAGTCGTGGATTTTATCTAGGCAGCGGCCTGCTTTATCGGTTTCCTGTTTTTGCTTTCAGAAAGGATTGTTCGTTTGCCG